TGGGATCAAACCCTGCATCGGGCTCCCTGCTCAGTGGGGAATCTGCTTGCTTCCCTCTCCCCCTGCCCCTCTTCCTATCTCTCTCTCAAATAAATAAATAAATCCTAAAAAAAATAAAAATTAAAAATAAAACCAATAAGTGAACAGTTTAACAAATGAATTATGGTACATGTATACCATGGAATACTACTCAGCAATAAAAAAGAATGAACTAGTGATACATACAACAAGTTGGATGAATCTCCAGAGAATTATGCTGAATGAAAAAAGCCAATCCCAAAAAGTTAGAAACTGTATGAACCCATTTATTTAACACTTCTGAAATAACAAATTATAAAAATGGAGGAGAGATTAGTGGTTGTCATGGGTTAAGGATAGAGTGAGAATGGGATGGTAGTGGGTGTAACTATAAAAGGGCAAAATGAAGGATCATGTGGTGATAGAAATGTCCTGTATCTTGACTCCACCATTATCAATATCCTGATGGTGATATTGCACTCTAGTTTTGCAGAGAGTTACCATTAGGAGAAAGTGGGTGAAGAGTACACATACCTCTCTTCACTAGTTTTACAAATAGGTGTGCATCTATGATTGCCTCAGAGTAGAAGTTTAATAATAATTTTTTTTTTGAAATTAGGCTTTGGGGCGCCTGGGTGGCTCAGATGGTTAAGCATCTGCCTTCGGCTCAGGTCATGATCCTGGGGTCCTGGGATCGAGCCCCACACTGGGCTCCCTGCTAGGCAGGAAGCCTGCTTCTCCCTGTCCTGCTCCCCCTGCTTGTGTTCCCTCTCTCACTGTGTCTCTCTCTGTCAAATAAATAAAATCTTTAAAAAAAAAAAAAAGAGTCACGGGAGTGGAGATGGAGAAGCATAGAGAAAAAGATATTAAAATGATAGCACTAGTGGGTCTGGTAAAAGAGGCGATGTGGGGTAGTGGATGACAAGGAGTCAAGGTTGATTCCCAAGTTTCACACTTGAGCAAATGGGTAGTCAGTGGCACCATTTACTGAGCAGAGGAATACATGAGCGTTTTGGGTGTGGTGAGTGTGTGATGTCTGGGAGACATTTGAGTAGAGATGTCCAGTTAAGAACTCTGGGATGGAAATTTAACCTGATAATAACCAGCATGCAATGATAATTGAAGCCAGGAGAATGGATGAGATGTCTGAGGAGAAGAAAAGAGCCTAGACCATAACCCCTGTGATGATAAATGAACTTCCAACTTTAAGGACTGGGTAAAGAGGGTCATTTTAGCAAAAGAGACTTAGGGTGGCCAAGAAAGGGAGAAAAGTCAGGCATTTATCATATTAACTAAGCAGTGAAGAAATTAAAATGAGTAGTGAAAAAACAGACCTCTGAATTTAATGACCTGGGTGTCACTTGTGCCTTTCAGAGAACAGCTTTAGCGAAATGACAAAGTAGGTTTCAGACTGGAGCCAAATGACAAGAAGGCAGGAGAAATGGAGACAGTATCAACAACCATGAATAAGAAAAGGAGAAAGCATAGTGAGAAGGAAGGGCTGTGATACTGAGGGAGGATTTTGTTAAAGGGAAGTATGTTTACATGTTAATGGAAAGGGATAGCAGAGGGGAAGACACAGAAGATTCATGATTGAAAGGGTAATAATGATCTGAATAGACAGGATGAGATATGATCCAAAGCACAGGTAGCAGGACTGCTCAGTTAGAAGGGGCACCTCATCAGGGCACCTGGGCATCAGCTCAGGTCATCATCTCCATTATCTCAGCACTGCCTTCCCCAAAAGAAGGGGCACCTCACCTACTCTAAGTAGAGGGAAAAAGTAAAGGAACCATGCAGATATAGGTAAATTTGGAAATATGGTTGTAGTATGTGCACACTGCTACTCTCAGTTTCAATGTTCTTTGTGGAAAAGGCAAGGTCATCTGCTAAGACTGATGGGATGGCTTAATTTTTATTCCCAGCATCTAATCCAGTGTCTGAGACACAAATACTTAATAAGTAAGTTTACTTAATAAAATAAAAATAAACAGTTTCCTCACTTCAGTTGTTCATTAGAACCAATACACAATTTTCTCCAAATTAGCCACTAGAGGACAGTGTTGCTACCAGTCTTTTCCCCTAAATCTATTAACCCAGTGAAATTAATAGAAAATTAGAGCAGTGTAGGTCATAAAATGTTTTTCCTTGAGAAAATGTGGCTTCAGCCTTATATATGTGTGTGTGTGTGTGTGTGCATGCACACACACACTCATATACAGGCATACTACAGCATGATGGGAGGGCTGTTCCTTCTGCCAGCCTCCCACTACAAAGGTATCATGATGGCCCAGAGGCAATCAATACTCACCATTTTCCAGAGGCCACTTTTTGTAATTCCCCCAATATGCACAGCAATACTGAATAGATCTCTACATTTTCCTATGATTAATAAATTAGAAAAGACTGTTGAAAAATAAATCCCTAAATCTAATCCCTGGTAACATTTGCCATAGCTTCTTTCAAGTTGTTTTTCCTCCTATTTATTACCCCCTCCTCAAATTAGAGAGAAGTTTTTAAAATTAATTATAAGTAGTTGCAATCTATTTCATTACCTTCTTTTCTCTTTATCTCAGATGCTTGATACACCACACACCTATGATATATATCAGAATAAGCAGCTATTTTGGGGGGTGTGTTTAGCAACGGAGCTGGGAATTACTTGTCTCCTAGATTGTTTCTAACGAACAGAGGGAACTGGCAAAGTTCTAACTTAAAACAAGGTGCAAAAATTCTCAACATGCAAAAAGAAAATAAGATGTAAAGGCAGACTCTAACCCCATGAGTTTGGGGTTAGACAGATCAGCTCAGTTTTAACTAAGGGAACTGAGCTCCCACAGTAGAGGAGACTTCTAGTCATACCACTGGAACACATCACCCCCAAGCCTAAGAAAAGCTGTTACTAGCTTGATCAGAGGTCTATGGGTGGGAGCTCTAAAGATGATGGGAAAGAGGCTGAGGTCATCATATGACTATAAGGTGTCCAGTACTTCAGATGGGTGAAAAAGGTGCTTGACTGCAAAGCCCCCTAATTTGTTTTTTTGTTTTTGTTTGGCGGGGGGGGGGGGGGGTAGCTAAGGTTGCTTGAGAACAAAAATACCAAAGAAATGGGTCATAAAAAGAGTCTAGGTGATAGACTTGAAGTAGTCATCAGTCGAATACAGACAAGGTATCAAATTGTTTGCAAACTGTATCAAAAACAAAGTTTCAAGGTTCTTTAGGGTAGTGTTCTAACTTGAAAATTTTCACTGGATACTCTATTCCACCAGCTGGTAATGTTACGACACTTTTACTAATAGTTTCAGAAATTCTTTGGGGCCAAAGATTTTTTCTTTTGTTTTTATATTTATAAAAACATAAATAGCAAATTACTCATCCTTAACCTAATATAAAAATTCACCTTTCCTAATGAGCTGATACAACTCTGAAAAGGGGAAAAGTCTCTTTCTTAGTAATTATACTGCTTTGGCTACCTGGACATCCCTGAAAAATGAGCTTTAGAACCGAGATGAACACTTCATTGCCTCATCCCTACTGTATTTTAAATCTATGTCCACTTTCAAAAGTCATTGTTAAATACTTAAGAGTCTTCTCAGCAAGTGATTTAAATTAAGAGCCTGCTTTCATCTACATACATACACACACACTCGCACGCCCCAACAACACTTCCTTTGAAAAACAGAATGTCACTTCCTCAATCCAGAGGCCAGAAGTCCTTCAGTTCTGATCAGGGGAGCCAAGACAGGAAACTCTGGTAAGCTTCTGCCTCTCCCCCCATGGACAGCCACTGGTGCAGCTGACAGAGGGCAGGGTCTATTCAGAGCTCCCTTGATGCACTGCAGCTGGAAGGCAACAGCTCACTTTCATGCCGTGGGAATGATCCCAGAGAGTCCAGCACCAAGGGTCAGTGTAACAAGGGCATTTCATAGGCAAGTGAAGAGACCTTGACACCTTTTACCGACCTTCCATTTCCAAACGCCCCCAAAGAGCCCAGGGCTGATTGTAATTAGCACGATCTTGTACTTTGACCCCATCAGGCAAGGCACGGGACGGAGGGGGGTGGGGGGAGTGTTAGCCAGACCTCCTCACCAGTCAGCACCAGACTGTATACCGCCTTCCCCTCGATGTTGCCAGTTTCTCACCCAGAAGGGAGAGGCTGTCCCAGCAATTTCGGTAAACACCGTCGGTGAGCACCACCTGGCAACTGAGAACCTTGATTTCTCCCGACCCCAGCTACCTAGGACCGCACAAAACCTGGGCCAGTTATACCAGACCAAACTGCAGTGTCACCATCGTGGGGTGGGGTGGGGGGATGTATGTGAGAGACATACAGAATAAAGGGAAAGAAGGGGGACAAACAAATGAGTCACTTAATACAAGAGCTGCACATGCCGCTGACGCTGCCCGTGATGCAGAGGCTGTGGACTGGAAGGAAGCAGGCGGTCACCCGGGAGGGGCGGGCAGAGAAAGGCAAGGGGGAAAGGGTGTGAGGCGCCTCGCCCTTTGTGGGGACGGGGCTGCGCCGCCCCGCAGACTGCGCCCCCCTTTCCCGCCCACTCCCCCAGCCCCGCAGGCTGAAGCCGCCCGGGGTTACTATGGTCCCCCAAGCCCCGGGAATCAACTCTCTCGGTCTCCAAAAACAATCAATACAAACTTCAATACCGTATTTAGTTTACACGGAGGCTGGCTGGGGAGGCGCCGCCGCCGCGCCCGCCCAGCGGAGAGGGAGCCGCAGCCTCAACCTGCCCGCCCGCCCGCTCCGCCCGCTCCGCCCCTCCGCGGCGCACCTGTGACAGGTGTGCAGGTGCCCCACACAGCCCCGAGCCGCGGGGCGCACCGGCCGCTCCTCGCCCCCCCGGGATCCCAGGGCCCGCCCTCCCCTTCGGCGCCGCCCCTCCCGGAGCCCCCAGCCCCTGGGCAGGCCGCAGGGCGCCCCCCCCCCGCGCCGTCCGCCGCCGCACCCGCTCGCCGCCCGCACTCACATAGCGCCTCAACTTCTTCTCGGGGGGCGATTTCCGCAGCCAGCCGGTGCACACCACGTCGCCGCCGCCGCTCATGCTGCCGGCCGCCTGGAGCCCGCCGCGGGGTCGGGCAGACAAGGGCGCGGGCGCGGGCCGCTGGGTCAGCCGGCCGGCGGTGCGCAGCTCGCGGGGGAGGGGAGGGGCCGGGGCGGCCAGCGGCCGCGGGGCGACGACGAGGCGGCGCGGCGCGGGCTCGGCCGCTTCGCGCGCTCCCGCTCCCCCTGCGCGCGCCCGCGCCCGCGCCCGCGCGCACTCCCAGCCGGGCCGCGGAGGGGGCGCCACAGCAGGAAAAAGGGCGGCGCGCGCTCGCCACGCCCACAGCCCGCCGCGCCCCCCGGCGGGCCGCCTTCAAAGACGCAGGCCGCCTCGCTCCTTGGGAGCCGGGAGGCCCGAGGTTTGCTCGGTCGCCGAAGCCTGCCACCAGCCGCGACCCCCTGGTCTTGCTCCCCTCCGCCCCAAGCCTCAGCAGCAAGCAGGAGGCGGCCGCGCCCCTGGTGGGGGCGGGGTGAAGGGAAGGGGCTGCACGCCCTCGATCGCGAATCGATTTTTCACAGAGGGTCGTCAGGCAGGGACCCAAGGGCTGCTCGCGTTTCTTATCCATTCCGAGTTTCAGGTTTCAGTGGGTCAGGTTCTGGCAGAAATTAGTGATCCGCTGCCCAGCAAGAGTTTCATTAACTCTCGCACCCCCTTGGCGGGAGAAGCAAAGAGACTATTACGTGCTGGGCGCTTTTACATTCCTTGTTTACATGACTGTCTTCACAAATCTACAAATTGGGCGAGCCGTATTATTCCCATTTTGCAGATAGCCTAAAGTCCCAAAGCTTGTGCAATAGAGAGGCAAGTTTCTAATGCTGGGGCTGGGGGTGTGGTGAGGGTGGTCTTGCTCATCTGCTATTTAAAGTGGGGTAATTGCTTTAGTGTCTACCGATCAACTTGGGGGCCTCTTATTACCAGCAAATAAAGTCCAGCTGGCTTCTGATTGCCTCTGGGAAAAACAGTTCAGGAGAAGAAAATTTGTGTGATTTGCAGGATGGAAGTGAAAGTGAGTCAATCTATTTCATAGTGAATTAGAAAGCAAGGTGGTGTAGAACAAGAAATTGGGGTCAAAATTCCCCAGAGTCCAAATCACTGACATGGGTTATAAAATCTCTCTGGGGCTCATATGAAAATTGGAATCTGATGATACTTCTCTCACTGCATTGTGGTGAGGTTTAACTGAAATAAAGTATGTGTAAGCACACACTTGATAACCTCAGTACTTCAGGGGGAGGATAGAGGGGGGAAAAAACACCCACCTTTGGTTGGGGCTCTTGTCAACTCACAAAGTACCTTTAGGAGCAGCATTAAAAGGTAGGTCCTCCCCCAACTTCTCTGAGAAGTGGATAATAACCCATTTCATCATAGGGTGCTGTGCTGTGGGGCAGATGAGTGGGAGAAACAGCATCTCACACTTCCCATACAACTTAAGACCAAGGCTATTTTTGCTCATTTTCCTGTCTCTGTGCAGCAAAGCTAGTTGTTTCAAGATGTTGGACATTGTTCTGGTTTTATAGATCTTGCCTGGGTTGGAGAAAGTTCACTCTCTTCAATCAGTTTGTAAATGCTAATCCTTTACTATATGCTTAGCTTTTCTAAGCATCCTGAGAGGTAGAGATCAGCTCCCCTGCACCCATCATTTCATTGACTTTCTTCACTATCCAGTGAGCTGCTGGATTGAATGTAAAGCTGGAACCATCAGGCTATGGCTGGGACCAGAGCTCCCTTAGCCTTACAATTTAGAAATCTTTAAGCCACACTGAAGGGCCACCACTAGAATTACAGCCATTTTAACCTCTTACTTTAAGTATCTTGAAACCCTCTGAGACAAATATCCAAATAGTCAAGTCTGCCAAATCAATCAGGAGGCGGTGACTCCCAACCAAAATAAAGCAATCTGGCTTCATTCACATCTGAGTCATGGTGCCAAGTCTCAGTGATTGCAGTCTGCATGGTTTGCAGCTGAGGTGTATGATGCAAGTCAGGCATACATATGCCTTATCTTTCCCTAGAAGAGTAGTCTTCTAATACATACCCTTTGATAGTTGTATGGGCTGCATTCTGCCAGAAGCTCTTGAGGGTCTTACCTTGTTTTGCAAAAGACCTCTGCTCCCCGTTATTTACAATTCCATGTGGAAATAGAAAAGTGTGATATTCTGAGCCAATGGCAGGAGGGGCCTCAAAAGACAACAGTTACAGAGTAACAGGTCTTCCCAGCAATCCAAAAGTGGTCCCTTCCCATGAAATTTCCCCTTAAGCTGACATGGGGTAAAGTGAAGAAGCAATTAACATCTCCTAAAAGTAAAAATCCTCCTCGAATTTCTTTTGGTGGGCAGAACCAAGTAGTAATGTGGGTCTTTTGTAAAAGTGAAGGGGTGTAAGGCAAACTTTTGGGTAATGGGGAAAACTTGTATCAGTTTCAGGAAGTCTTCTCTGAACACACCGTTTCTTTCCCAAAAGTTAGAAAAAAGGGTCTCTTCTTGGTGCTCTCTGGCCCCCCACCCCACCTTTACCATTACTTAGCTGCCAGCACCCAGCTCAGGCTGCACACATAGGAGGCAAGACTGCTGCTGAGGTTCTTGGCTCCTGTGGCTCAGTCTGAGCCTGAGGTGTGTGCCAGGCCTGGGAACAGCCCTCGGACAGAACGTTCCTGTCTGGGCCTTCACTAAGTCCTCTCCACTCCCCGCCGTCTTTTTTTTTTTTTTTAATGCCCTCTGGTTTTCGCTGGTGAGAAGTGGAAAATGAATTAGGAGTGATTTATTTGCATGAGGATAGGCGCCATCTATTGGAACCAGTAGGGATGACAGCCCCCCAACCCCAGCCCCCAAACCTGTGAGGACATGCATCACTAGTCTATAATTTAGACAATTTTGATTAAAGACCACGGGTATTTCCTGGGGGGAATTAACGACTGGCTGCAAAGAGCGCTTTGGGTCATTAATTCTATCTTCTCATTAAATCCTCAGGAAATGACCATCTTATGGCGAGAGCTCCTCTGGAGGAAGCATTGCAGAAATGAGAACCGCACACCTGGGAAGAACACACGGGCACAAGGTTTTGCTCTCCCTCCTCCCCCCCACCCCCAAGCCTGAGTTCTAAAGGGTGCACTCTGGCTTTGAGTGTCGTCAGCAACAGCCTGCATCCGTGCCTGTCTGGGAGTTGAGGGTTTGTGGCCAGTGGCAGGTGCATAGCTGATGGAACGGTCCCAGGAACGGGTTGGAAGGAGAGTTGTCCTCAACTGCACACCAGGCTAGCGTGATTAATACCACCCACTCCAGGCTTGACGTCAGTGATTGGACCGGGGGTGGGGGATGGATGTTTGTGTCCTAGCCATGCTGCCTTTTCTCCCCTTCAATTTAGTTCACAGGTTAATTTCAGAGCTGAGTACTGCTTGCCAAGGTCAGTGTGGCCAGCTGAGCCACCTCAGCTAGTGACTTTCAGGACACTGGACTCTCATGAATGTTGAGGTGTGTGCCTTTTTAACCCCGGGATGCTTTGAGCCCATTTGGTTCCATCAAATTACTGTGACCTACTCAAATCCATTTCTGGCATATGAAGGGGACTGGGATCTGAAAGTGGGCTTGGGGTGTGGCTGAAGACCTAATTGGGTTTCCTCCCTGTCTGCAGCTGCTAAAAAACTGAAGTTGTCTGACATTACACCCAGTGGAAGATATTTTGGAAATAAACTTTCTTATAGGGAAATGTTTGAGCAAGTCCAGTTTCCCAATTTCTCCTTCGTAAGAAACTAGAACCTGTGCTGCTTTGGGGCAGTTAGACTTCTGGGACATTTCTGCTGACACTGGTGAGGGTGGTACATCATCGCGTTCACAGATCATGCTGCACAGTTACCATATTCTCCCAAGGACAAAGACTTGTCAAGTGCCTAAGAAAGTGCCCTCGTACTCCAAACCACACTTTCCATGATGGCCCCTTACTTCCTTCAGAGAGAACTCCTCCCTTGCATTAGATCTTGAACATATGTCAAGACCCCTTTCCTTAAAACTCACCAGCCCCACTCCTCAGCATAGTTGTTCATGTTTTTCTGAATTCACATTGCACCTGTATAGGTTATCACAGTGTACTGCAAATACTTGGGCAGGGTGTGTCTTCCTTATTCTTATATCCCTGAAGCTTCCCTGCATGGTATCAGGCACACGATCAATGCTCACGGAATGTTCTGAGAATGAAAAACAAAAAACAAAAAACAAAAAACCCTTAAAGGATGGCACGTGGGAGCGGTGGACTCCTGGAGCATCCAGGAGTCTCTGATCCATCCACACCAGAAAACAGTATCTGTGAAGATACTTATAAGTAGCTGGAGTGTTTAAATCTGCAGGGACTGGCCTCGTGGGAAGGGCTGAGCAGGTGGAGGTAATCCTTTGCAGTTTCACTTTTAGGGGTGGTTGAAATCCTTGGGTAATTTCTAAAACATCCGCTCCTTAGACCTTTTGATTTCTATCTCTTGACTCCAGAGAGGTAACTGTTAACCCTTGGCTTCCAAACCCCAACACTGTTGTGTAGACTCCCCAGATACTCTCCTCTCTGGGACTAAGAAGTAAATCATTTGTAGTTTATCTGATAGCTGGCCTCATTCTGACAGTCCTACAGGGATGCTGTCACTTAGCCCCTTGTACCCATATGTGAGAAATCATGTCCCCTGAGTCAAAGTGGGTTTCTCCCAACAGGTGACCAGAAATGCCATTTTCTTCTGCACCGAATGCATGCATAGTGGCTTTGCAGATTTGCTAGTTTCTGTTTTGTTGGGGATCCAAAGGCCACAGGAGACCATCTCATTTAACTAATTGTACCAGAGTTACCCAAAATGGTTGTCTGACCCACACAGCCAGGGATGTGCTGGTAAATGTTTAAAAACTGGCTCTCTGATGGTGGTGGTGGTGGTGGCAGTGGCCTTGATTTGTAGTATGTGACAATTTTTGTCACACCAAATATTATACCTCCTCACCTCCCTGACCAATTTTAAGCTATCAACTTTATGTGTACGAACAGTTAAGAGATGCTAAGTAATACATCATTATTTAGTACTTCCAACATATACATAGACAAAAATGCCAAGAGCAAACAGTGAAATGTAGTGAAATAATTAGTAACTAGTGAATTTTGATTACTTATTCCGTTTTTATTATAACATTTAATTGTAAATTTATGAGTTAATTTTTTTATTAACCTATCATTTATTGGCCATAAGTCATCCCTTTTTTTCCCCCATAAGTCACCCTTTTAAAGTGTGCAACTCAGTGGTTTTCAGTATACTCACCGAGTTGTGCAACCATCATTGCTGTCTGATTTCAGACCATTTTTATTACCCCAAAAAGAAACTCTATATCCATTAGCAGTCACTCCTCGTTCCCCTAATCCCAAACCCCTGGCAGCCACTGATCTACTTTGTCTCTATGGATTTGCAACTCTGGATCTTCCATGTAATTGGAATCATATAATACGTGGCCTCTTGTGTCTGACTTCTTTCACTTTCTATGTTTTCAAGGTTCCTCTGTGTTGTAGCATCCATTGGTTCTTCCCTTTTTTCGCTGAATAATATCCCTTTGACTGGAGATACCACATTTTATTCATTCTTCAGTTGGTGAATATTTCAGTTGTTTCCACTTTTTGGCTACTATGCATAATGTTGCTGTGAACATTCATCCCTGTACGAGTTTTTGTGTGGATGTATGTTTTCACTACTCTTGAGTATATACCTAGGAGTCAAACTGCTGGATCATAGGGTGAGTCTGTGTTTAACTTTTTTTTTTTTTTAAGTAATCTCTACACCCAATGTGGGGCTCAAACCCATGACCCTGAGATCAAGTCACATATTCTACCAATTGAGCCAGCCAGGCGCCTGCGTTTAACTTTTTAAGGAACTGTTGAACTGTTTCCCACAGCGGGTTACACCATTTTACACTACCAGCAATGTATGAAAGTTCCAATCTGTCTCCATCTTCTCCGATACTTGTTACTTTCCATTTTAAATTATTTAATTTTAATAATGCTTTTTTTTTTTAAACAATCAGCTTGCAAAATTTTTCACCACAATCTGTTCTCATGGGCTGCTATGAGCCAGTCTTAGCATACAACTGCATACAGCCTATCTCAGAAAGTCCCACCATCCTTCTCTGTAGTAATAAGTTCCACTTCTTTTTTGCTGACAAGAGCATACTCAATAGATTTCTATTTCCTTCTTCCATCCTTCCTATAGAAAACCGAAACCTTAGAAGGTCTCAGATTTTTTTCTGTTTTGGAATCAAGAAGATTTTTGATTCTGGAGTATCACAAAGTTTTCAACTCCCACCAAGCAACTCTGGGAAGAACAGAGTGTTTCCCTCCTACATTTGTGTTGAAAAACAAAAATAAAAAACAAAATGTATCTTCCTTACACCAAGATGTATCTTCTGGATGAGCTCTCAAGCAGTTGCTTCAACAGGGCAAACAGCTGTGGTCTGTTTCAACATAATTTGATGTAATCAGGGTTAATTTTGATGATGCAGTAACTCTGAAGACTGTTTTTTAACTGGATTACTGTTGGGTCAACAATCATGTGGTATTACACTTAGTGGCTGAAACAAAAGCCAGAATTAAAACAGCTTCCCCCCAGCCCCTTCTAAATGACAGTCCCAATGGGATTAGGAGTTATGAGGCACATTTAACACAATTAACTAAAAAAGGAAAGTAGTTGCAGTCAAATTACATGCAAGCTTCTCCAAGGTCCAGAGTGTTGACTGAGGAAAGAGCCGGAAACTTTTTTGTTGCTGTTTTCTTTTCCTAGAGTGATTAGAAATATGTTGGCAGTAATCACTATAACTTAACTTTATTTTTTTTTTAAAGATTTTATTTATTTATTTGACAGAGAGAGACACAGCAAGAGAGGGAATACAAGCAGGGGGAGTGGGAGAGGGAGAAGCAGGCTTCCTGCCGAGCAGGGAGCCCGATGCGGGGCTCGATCCCAGGACCTGGAATCATGACCTGAGCCGAAGGCAGACGCTTAACGACTGAGCCACCCAGGCGCCCCTATAACTTAACATTTTTGTTACATTCTAGGAAAAAGCCCTAAGATTTTCTTCAGAAAAATTTTCCTGAACCAAATGACAATTTTAGCAGTCCACAGTTCCCTATTTTCCATGCATGTTTTCAAAGTGATGATTTTAAGTGAGGACTCAATTCAGGATGCGGCATGCCAGGGCTGAATGGATGTGGTACACAAAGCTCTACACACATTTGGAACTGTTTCTGAAGAGCAAAATCTTTTATCTTACTCTCATTGTTTACGGCCAGCCAGCAGCAGGGTCAGGGTCGCTCTAGGCACACACGTTTTATTTAGTGTCTTACAGTTTTCAGTTTTGGCTAGTCTGAAACACAGTGAAGGCTCATGACAAAAGCCATTCTTAACACAGTTCTGGAAAGAATCTTCAAAAATAGATGTCTTGCGAAGCTGCCAATTGTATTGGTTCTTCAAAACCTCTCTAATCCAATTTTGTAGTTCAAGAAAGGTCTGATATTTGTCCAATCCTCTCTGTAAAAAAGCCTCTCCATTCATGTTTTCTGTTTTTATGACTTAGGGAATCAAGAAACTTGAAAAGCAAAGAAGTCACCTACCCTCCTATGGCATTTTATTTATCAGGAATTTCTCATCTACATAATTTCCTGATTAGCATATATTCTGGGATAATATGTGGGTATGACTAAAAGGTAATGAGACTACAAATCAAAAAAAGTAATGACAATTCTTTCCATAAGTCAGATAGTGTATTAATGTTTTCTTTTCAGTTGTAAAAGCAGATAACTGTTTTAAATTTGCTTAAGCCCAAAGAGGGAATTTATTGGTAAGAAAATGAGGCATCTCCCATGGAACACAAGAAAAAGTTGAATAATCTAGCCTCAGGAAGGTTGGCAACTGAGGACTAAATATAGCAAAAACTAGGCTGCCAGTCTGTATATGTGTGTCTGTCTCTCTCACAGACCATATGGTTTTTCATCTCTGAGCATGTGCCTTTCTTTCTTTCTGCAGACTGCCTTCTCTGTTTCTTGAGGCACATGGTTGGCCTACATCTCCTAAATTTACATATTCCTGGTTCAAGCAACCACCAGACTCTCTAGTGTTCTTAACCCCATTTTTCTGAGAGAAAATGAGACTGGCCCATTTTGGTCAGGTGTCCACCCCTCATCCAATCAGCAAGGGAAGCTCCTGTCCCCAGTATGTCTGCTGGGAATCCATTGGCTAGGATGGGGTGGGGGGAATTCTCAGAGGAGGAATGGGTTTGATAACTAAGCCACCTCTAAAAGTATTTAAGAGAGGCAAGAAAACCAATCTTGTTTCATTCAGGACGTGGCCACTACCTATCATTTGAAACTCTGAAAACACTTAGAAAGGCATATACTTTTATCCAAATACAAACTACATATCCAAATACATGTTACTTAGGAAAGGTCATTTATGTCCTTGTTAAATTCTCAAAGAAGATTTTCTTAGAACCTACTACAGGTTCAGCATAGGAACACAGAGATGAGTAAGACCAGGGTCTTAAGAAGTTCAGGGTCTTTCTGGGGAGAGAAATAGGTAGGCAGATGTCTATAGCAGCATGTGGGCAATGTTGTTATAATAGAGGTATGTTCAAAGGATGGTGGAGCCAGAGGAATTATCAACCAGCTGTACGGGAACTGAAACTGTAAGATCTTAGGTTTTACTTGTTTTGGGGTGCCCCACAGAGGGACACACAGAGTTAGCATTAACATTTGCTGAACTAATGACGTAAGCTACTTCAATTTGGAGGCAAGAAGCCTGTCTAGATTTGGAAAGCAAGGCAGAGAACACTAACTGAAAATCTAAGCAACTCTAAGTTCATCTGGTATTTGCTTCCGAATTTCTTCCATCAATCAAATACATTCATTCATTCTTTACTGAGCACCTACTGTGTGCACGGCACGTGGCTAGGTGCTGGTTATATAATGATGAACCGCAGAGCAATGTTCTTGAGAAGTCTATTAAGTTACCATGCCCTAGAAACTCAGCTTCAGTAACAGCTCCTAAGGACAAGTTACTAACTGCACTCATAAATACTTTTGACTCCTGACTCTTTGTTCTATGTTCAGGCAGTGGCTCCAGACTTGGATTTTTAAGCTGAAAGGGCTAGTTTAAAAATTTATGAAATAGTTCAGACACAGAAAGAGGGAAAAGCCAGTTTGGGAATTACTTTTTAAGGAATATTTTCCTTTGGTCTGATGGACATATTTCCTCTTTTGTTTTTGGACACCTCAATGACACCTAATTCATTTAAGAGTTATTTAATCAGTACCCACTATGTGCCAGATACTCTCCAAGGCATTGCAGATAAAAAGATGGATGCAGTCTCCTCTGTGTTACAGAGCTTTTGTTCTGGCACAGAAGACAAATGACAGTTTAAGATGGCCAGTATTTGTATATGGTTCTGAAGGAGCATAATGAAAGGAGTGAGTCTGGAAGCCACTGTCCAACCATTGGTATCTTGAAGTACAAGTAATATAAACATGTGAAAATGTAGAAATCCTAGCTGCATTTTAGAATGTCACCCCTCTTGAAATAAAGCCTCGCAGCCTCAGACAGTGTGATTAGAGTTGTAATATTTTGATTCTGGGTGACTGAGAGGTGACAGGTGTGTAGACTCAGAAAGCCACCCGAGCCTATTCAGAGGCATGTGGAGACAAGTCGTGCTGCATCAGAATGCAGGGTATACTCTAACTCGATTGGCAAGACAGGAATCCTTTGAGGGCTGCTAACTCACTGGAAGAAAGCTAATCAAGAGCTAAATGACAGTCAAGCACCAAAACATGAAAGTTTCCACATATGATAACTTTGTGCTTGCTGATCAATGAATAGACCACTTCTAAGTTTTTGAAAAACATTAACCATATACATAAGAGCCTTCCAGAACAACTTAGTAAAGCAGATATGTTTGCTTGTTTCAGTAAAATTGACATACCTGGTTGGGGAGTAAGTTGGAGAAATGAAGGGGAAAAATCTGGATGTTGATATATTACTGGGCATAGGAGGAATCAGAGTGGCAGAGAAACACAAGCATAGGAGAAAAAAAAAAAACAACAACACGGGTGAGGTAGTGGACAAGAAAGGGAGGAAGAGATCCTAGGTCAAGAGGTGTGGTAGGCTTCATGCGACACGGGTTTGAGAGTAAGATCACTCTGTGGGCTGGCTTCCCCTCCTTGAAACAGAGGGATAAAAACCAGCTCAAAGGTGCAGGCAGAACAATCCAACATAGTATGTTCTTCAATGAGCAGATTTGTGTAATTATTATCTTTTACTGTAAAAATATTAAAACCTCACTGAAGCTTTCTCACAGAGTGGAATTAAACCACCTACATTAGGATCACCCAGGGTGACTGTTTCAGAAACGCAAACTGTGGGCTGTTCCATCTACTGAATCAGACTTTCTAGGGTAGGACCAATGTAATCTGAATTTTTTAATAAGCTCCCCAGGTGATTCTTATTCACAGTGCACAAAGACTGCACGCAAGGGAGTCCCTGAGGCAAGGAGCATGTCCTATTTATCTCTGTCTTTGCAGAGTCTAGCACTGGACCTGGCACAGTGAGTGCTCAGGAAGTTTACTGAACTGAGTAACACCAATGAGGTTTTGAAAGAAAAAGGTACTCAGTTCCACTGCCCTGAAAAAGCTGATCTCATTTTTTCCCCAGATGCTTCTAGTCCACACACACAGATTTTACAGTATTGTAACTGCAAACAACAATTTAACATTTTAACACTTTTTCTATAATTTTAACGGCTATAAAATATTTCACTTAACATGCAATAAACATCTTAGTTCATACAGATTTTGAGTTTTGAAAAGGTTTCTCTCAGGAGATCTTCTATTTGTGCAGTTTATGAAACCCTTTTACACAGCCTTGTTTCTCATAATACTTTGTACGATAAGGACTACCCTCATTCTGCAGATGCCTATTCAAACCCATGAAATAAATTTCTCAAGGTCCCACAGCTCAAAAGTAGAACGTCAAGACTTAAATCAGAGTCTTTTCCCTCTATGTCTAATACCCTTCCCAAGACACTGAACATCTAGCACATTTTCTGGCAGGAACCTGACCCAACAGTTTCCTGATGTGAAAACCTGTAGTGCAGAGTGTGGAAGATGGAAATTACACTTAAAGAGATCACTGTATCCTAACTGTACAGGAATGAGTTCCTGCCTTTCGGGGCACTGCAAAGAAAATGTGAATTGGTGGGAATCTTCAGTGAAAAAATGTATTGTTCTCCAACAACCAATGTGTATATGTCCCAAATCGATTTCTGCGATCCTCAAATGAAGGGGGTTGGGACTGCCCTGAACATTCTGAAACTGTAGTTAGGACTCCTCAGCAGTTATTACACCTCTCCAGGCTGTAAGACAGCCGGCAAGGAGGCACTGGAGACTTTGAAGCTCTTCTAATATCAAGATTCGTATCCTAGGATACTTGGGTAGTGGCTGAGTGGACAGTGGAGGGAAGCCTTTTTGCCAAGAGAAAGGCCCATTTTCAGGATCCACCGCCTGATGAATAACCCTAGTGGGGTGCAGCCCTTCAGAGAAGGGCAGACTGTCCATCTGAGCAGCTTCAGAGATTGTATCCTGGAGAAGGCTGGGGAGAAGAAATGGTGTTGCTGTGTTTCTAACTTATTACACAGGTTTTGGTAATATCAGGTCAGAGTTCTCCAAGGATAGGAAAAGTTCTCTCTTAGGTGGAGAGCTCCTATTCACCTAAGGGATAGTGAGGGGGTGAACTACCAGGAGCTGGGAAAATACAGGAGAGGATAGTTTATACATCACAGACAGGGGAAGAAATAAGATCTCTAGGAGATTTTTCAAATCCAGGATCCTACGAAAACAGCAAAGCGGTTATTGTTGAGCCAGTGTGCAGAGGTTATAAGTCAGAGATTCACAGCTGCAAATAGCCCAGGTTCTGCAAAACACACTTCTAGCTGTTTCTATGTGTATGTGTAGCATGAAAAACCTCTGCTGGATGGGCCTACCACATTTCTATTCTCAGAGCATCATCCTGACATATCAAAGGTTAATCACTTTGGGGGAGGATATTAATAATCCCCACCAAAGTTCTTTCATCTGTCTTTCTATGTATATACTAGGATGTTCCTAAGAGGAAGGTAAGGCAAATAGGAATATAAACTCATAAAAAAAAAAAAATGAGGCATAGCAAGCTTAAGTACACCGCTGGGTCCAGGGCTCTATATTCCATTATCAGTGTTTCTCTTTACTAGAATGCATTTGAACTCAATCGTCATTTCCCTGCACACTCTTAAGTCTCTTCTCCTTGTGCAAAACAAGGACATCAGAGGCCAAAGTGTGTGTTTTGCAACACGTCCACTAAACTCTGGGGCTGAAGATGCAAAACTCTTTGGTTACTACAAAGCTCTGGGTTTTCAGTTTCTCTGGAGGCTAAGAGTGGTGAACTTTATTTGCAGTCTTACTCTTCCTTGATATTAGGAATTCTAATAACCAATCTTTGTAACAAAAAAATCTTTTATTAAATCAAATGAATTTGAAGCATAGTAGGCTACAAAAGAACAAGGCCTATAATACACTGTGAATACGTCAGACCATTTTGTAAACTGTAAAGCAACGTTCAAATGATAACAATTATGAGCAGTAAAGAAGTAGCATAAAGTTACTGAAGAGTCATGAGCTATGTTAATTCAATAGCTGCCTGAATGACAGTTTAGGAACCACCTAAACTCCTGACTTCTTCACAAAGTTCCCCTAGGAACTCCCACACGGTGTGCTAATAATGGCTGTAAATTCACTGGACTTCAAACCAAACTGCATAAGAGCTAACTGTAGCCTTAGCTGATCAGAAGGGCAACCCAGGGCTCCTAGTAACGGCAGAATGTCTAGGTTTCTAGAGGCGTGCTGACCATGATCTAATAAGATCTTATGCTAAGTCCTATTAATCATTTTGGTGTCGGGTGATTAAGGTTATTTTCTGTCCTTAATGCTTTTTCTTTTAATTTGGCCTATACACTGGGAAGAAACTACAATCAGATATTACTCCCACCTGTTTTCTTTTTATTATACATACTTTAGATTGCAGACTGAATACAAATATTGATCTGAAGCCAAAAAAGCTCCACACATTTCTTATCAATTCAATCCAGGCCAATCTGTCTTTCAACTCTGCGTTTTTATGTTCTTGCCTCACCACTTACTAAAATAAATATATGAATAAATAGCAATCCAATCCAAATAAGCATCTTTCATCTATAATTATCTGAAACAAGAGATTTAAAGAAGAGTAGAGTTAATCCATCTCACCAATTGCATCTTCAGTGCCTGTTCAGTCATGCCCGAATGTCTAGATTCAATTTATAGAGAGTATGAATGTATAACATTGTAGAGGGGCGCTTCTGGCAGATCCTGTTTGAGAGGGACAAAAGGTCAAACAGTTCCTCTGCTGTTCTGTGATAGTCAGTCTCTGGGCTGGGTCAGAGGGTGGGAGAGTTATGTCTAGATCTGGAATGGATCACTCACACAATTAAGTTCTTGTCAGACTAAAAAAGAAAAAAAAAAAAAAAAGACAGCACAACTTCCCCAGGCAAGAGGACAGCCAGATGGAAAGTAACTATTTTTCTCCACCTACTTCAAAATTTGAAATGAGAATGGAAATTAATGATGGAAAAACCATTTCTAAGTTTCAAAATACACCCTTTCTTGGGTGGCTGGGGTTATTATTTTGAGATGTTTGGAAGTCTTGGGAAAACAGAAAATCAGATTTTTCCCTCATTGGAAACTGGTTACTCAAATAAAAATTAACACCCTCAAATCACCTTTTCTCTCACAAATTAAGTCCTATAAGAATATTATTATAGTACAGGCAGTCCTCAACTATGAAATCTACACTTCTATTCATTATACACACAATTATACGATGCTGCTTATCCATAGAATTTCAATATTCACATACTAGCTGACAAATGGACATTTTAAAGTTTTTTTTCCTGCTGTTGCTGCTTAGTTTTGGCATTTTCATCATCTTTGTCTGACACCAGTATTTGTTGTTGTTCAATTATTGGTAAAATAAAAATATTGAGCCAAAGATGTAAATTTTTAGGCTTCTTATGAGTGGCAAGTGTTTGGTTCAACTAGATACTCATTGTGTGGTCAAATGTAGAGGAAAAGAATGAATAAGTATGAAAGTTGGGAAATACACTGCTGAAGACTATCAAAAAGGCAGGGAACAAGGTTTATTTGAGAAGAACGTTCTCCCACCCCACATACACACACAAGGAACACACAAGTCTATTGTAAGACTTTTAGTGATTTGATTTCATGGTACATTTTCGGAGACCTAATGTGTACTAAAATAAAATGTAAATGTTAGACTCTAAATCAATTATTTTTAGTGACTATCTCCAGCACAGATTCCTGAAGGATCAAGAGACAGAAGAAGAATCCTTGGAGTTGATGCACTTGGGAAGGACAGTTCCGCAGGTGACATAACTGGAGGGCACAAAGATGGTCTTGCTTACCAGTGCTCCACAGCTACATCGGTGGTGGCATGGGATAGGAACCTGGGGTTTTCCTGATTCACTATTTTTTGCACCACTGTTATTTAGGAGACCCCACCATCACGTTGACATTAGAATTCTAGCTGGTTCCTCAAGAATTGCTGGAGACATGATTCCTGATAGCCTTGGAAAATATTAGTGCCTCCGGGTTGGGGGCCTGTGTTTGTGATTCTCACTCCACAAAATTAATACAGTATTAAGACCTGAATGTCAAATCAATACTGATGCTGAGAATGTTTTAGAATGGTTTCTGCATTTATCTCCCAGGCCTAAGGTTAAAGATCACCTTTTCAGAGATGCCTTCTCTAGCAAGCTTATCTATGCTTGCCCTGCTCTTTATAAAATTTTATAGCTTATGTCATATTTTGAAATAATATGTTTGTTTGCTTACTGATTGTGTATCTTTTCTAACAGACTATAGATTCCATGAAGGCAGGGGTCATTTCTGTTTTGTTCACTATCATTTATTTAGCACCTAGCACAGTTCTTGGCATATAGAATAAGCTCAAATAATATTTGTTGAACAAACAAATGAATTTATCTCTCTAACCCATGATTGAGGCAAGCTTTATGAAAGCCCTAATTACCTCTTTTGTCCTGTCCTAAACTTGGTATCGAAGCCCAGGCTATGAAAGTTCTAGGGAAGTAGATTTTAGCTCAGCAAATGCTACCAATTAGGGAGATGCAGAAACGGAATGAGCTCTTTGGTGGGATACCGAGCACCTTGCCAAGAAGAGGCTGCCCAGGTGTATAGGATCTCTCTGCATCCGGCAGAAGTTTGGTCATGAGAACATCTCAGTGACTTCTGTGATTTCCAGCTCTAAGGTTCTGCAGTTATTTTCAGTTGTTTGCTTTGAGTTAGGATGAAATAAAGTGCACATACACACTCATTAGGAAATAAACTAAGATAAATTATCTAATGAGACACAGAAAATTGATTATGTAGGCATGCATGCCGTTTACCCTTATTTGATACATACAAACTCTACTGAGTATACAACTTTGCTGTAAGTCATAGATATGTAACTTAATGAAGACTAAAAGAATTAAAAACAATTTGCGTAGCATTTCACAGTTTTAAACACACACACACAACACTTTCATGTAACTGTTATATCAACTCTGAGGAAAATGACGTATGAACTCATACAGAGTTAAGTGGCTTGTCCAAAATCATACGCATAAAGTGCTACAATTGTCAGGTCTCAAACTCCCAAATGAGCAATCCTCTCAAAAACTCTAATAGATGATGTTACTTTTTGAGTCCAGAATTACCCATCCTTTAAGTTTAGCTATATTGGCATCCTCATCTTGCATTGAAAATACCTTTCTTCCAAATTTAAATTTAAATTTAAATTTAAATTGGAATTTAAAAATGTATTTTTCTTTCATAGGTATCAAAAATCTATTTTATTGATTATTAGAGAAGTTATAAACAGCTACTATAAACAAATTATAACAGTCATTAGTTTAGATAATTAATGCATCTCATTCGCTTTTATAATTAAAGATCAACAGTTATTAAATGTCACTTTTTTCACCCAGTCTGATGAAAGAAGATTTCAATTCCCAGAATAGTAACTTTATTAACTCAGTTAGGACCCTGAAAGGAATATTTTCTTCTGTGATGTCTAGTAAAGTGATGAAAATAAGATGGGCATTTATCATAGGTTAAATGGCACATGAAAAAAGATCCAACATTTTCTTTTTCGCTACTAGTGGTTCTCAAAGGCCACACAGGGCAGTGATCTAATGACTAAAGACAAATTAAAATACACTATCTCATCCTGTCTTGAGAGTTTGAAAGGACTCTGAGACCACAGTTCAGTCTTTTCATTCCTTCTTAACTGACATAACAGATTTGAGATTCTACCTGCCACAAGTACCTCTTTTTGAGGGAGTTCATCTTTCCGTGAAATGCTCTCAACTTTCTAAGAAAATTATGACCACTTCTATTTTTCATATGCTCTACCTTATGGCATGACAGTCACATACCGAAAACTTCTCCATTTCTAAAATTCAAACATGCATTCTCCTATATGCATATTCATGTGCAGTACCTCTTGCATGGGGTGATTTTCCTTAACCAGGCTTCCGGCTATAGAATACATGAATGAGTAAATCTTGGAAAAGGGATAACATCTTTGATATTGTCAATTCCCAAGACGCACTGCAGATAGCGTTCAAATCCCATCCCAAAACCTCCGTGGGGAACAGATCCAAATCGACGGAGGTCCAGATACCTGATTTTGAAAAACAGAGAATCATCACCTATAGATGCTGTATTGGATCAGATGTCATGATAGAATTTTGTTGCAAAAGTATTTTGCAATCATCTGTTATCGTCCACATCATTTTGATAAACAAATCTTTTCCCTCCAAGGACAGGTGAAGGACACAGAGAAGTTAAAATGATCTGTCCAAGGTTACTCAGACAAACAGCAGCAAGTCCTGTCATGCATTCATGGGCTTTGGTCACTTGATCCTTTTTAAATTATATATGTACTTATATACAGAAAACTTGCCTCATGAGGCTACAGAAAATGTTCTAATAACTTTACTATTTTTCTTGAATATATATTTGTTTTCTATTTCTTAGTATGTTAATACTTTTTTTTCTTACTAAAATCATACTGTTCAATACACAGAAGAGGGTGAAGAGTTTTGCCTGATATATTATAAAAAGATACCCCTACTAGAATAGGCTGTAGCTCTGTCAAGGGCAGGAACTGTGTCTTATTTCCAGTGTCTGCTCTGGAGTAGATGCTTCATTACTCTATGAAGATTTGTTGTTTGAAGGCACAAAAATAGACTCTTGAAATCTAGAGTGAAATTTCCAGTTGCGTGCTTCAAACCTAGCGGAGTAAGTCCAGAGTCACTTCTCTGAAAGGCTAGCCAGGCTCTGAAGCTCGTCTATACTCATTCTATCTCCACTTAAGATTACATGGCTAGAGGGCGCCTGGGTGGCTCAGTCGGTTGGGCGACTGCCTTCCGCTCAGGTCATGATCCTGGAGTCCCGGGATCGAGTCCCGCATCGGGCTCCCTGCTCGGCAGGGAGTCTGCTTCTCCCTCTGACCCTCCCCCCTCTCGTGTGCTCTCTCTCATTCTCTCTGTCTCAAATAAATAAATAAAATCTTTAAAAAAAAAAAAAAAAAGAGGAATTGGTGCCTGGTGCCAGTTCAGACCAGTGACAATAATAATACTCTGCCCAGGGCGCCTGGGTGGCTCAGTCGGTTAGGCGACTGCCTTCGGCTCAGGTCATGATCCTGGAGTCCCTGGATCAAGTCCCGCATCAGGCTCCCTGCTCAGTGGGGAGTCTGCTTCTCCCTCTGATCCTCCATCTCATGCTCTCTCTCTCTGTCTCATTCTCTCTCTCAAATAAATAAATAAAATCTTTAAAAAAAAAAAAAAAAAAGATTACATGGCTAGAAAATGGTGCAGCCACGATTCAAACTCAGATTCCAACACGCCAGCCTATGATAAATTTATTTTACAAAAGGAAGAGAAGGAGGAAGACTTTCTAAGTATTTTTATTATGTCACTTGGTGGGGACATTCTTTAGTTATACAATATTGACTAAATCAAGTTTAGAGCTTCTTGAATGATCTGTAAAATCAGTTCTAGAATAAAACTTAAGTGCTATACATGACTCTTCAAGAATAAAGACTATCATAGGTTGCCTGGGTGGATAAGGCAGTTAAACATCTGCCTTTGGCTTGGGTCATGGTCCCGGGGTCCTAGGATCAAGCCCCTCGACAAGCCCCATGTCAGGCTCCCTCTGAAGCCTGCTTCTCTCTCTCCCTGTGCCCCACATTCCCTGCTCGTGCTCTCTCTCGCTCTCTCTCAAATAAATAAAATCTTAAAAAAAAAAAAAAAGACTATCACCTATTTCCCCACTATTAATAATAATGACCACATGTATTGGTATTTTAGGCAGTTAAGACTGAATGCTTATCTTTCTAAAATAAAAGATGAATTGCAATAAGGTGAATTACAATCAAGTAAGGGATCAATAAACAGGAGTATCTAGTATAAAACTTCAGATTATTAAGAACTATCAAGAATAATGGAAGAAGGGGCGCCTGGGTGGCTCAGTCAGTTAAGCGCCTGCCTTCGGCTCAGGTCATGATCTCGGGGTCCTGGGATTAAGCCCCGCATCAGGGTCTTTGCTCAGCGGGGAGCCTGCTTCTCCCTTTGCCTGCCACTCCCTCTGATTGTGCTTGCTCTCTCTCTCTCTGACAAATAAATAAATAAAACCTTAAAAAAAAGAATAATGGAAGAAGCACAGTCTTAAGTAAATAAAATGTTTTGTAGCTGAATTAACTTTAAGTTCATAAGGCATGGGGGCAGGATATAGTTTCATTTACTGAGAAAATGAGATGAAAGGCCTATCAAACCACCTGCCACAAATACCTGCAGGATCTGGGCTGGCTGCTAGAAGTCCACCAATAGCTTTAGCTGTCTCTGAATTTCTCATACATCGATGTCAAAACACTGGCATAAATGTCTGGAAACTGAATTCAGCAGATGGAGTAAGTCTATAGCATTTTTCTTGCCCTTGCTTCAATATATAGAAAAATACACGTCTAAAAAACAAGTTTTTGAACAAATATGTATTTGTTGGATTTTTTTTTTTTTGGATTGTTGTTAAATTGATTCTAGGGTAGCCAGATTATAGAAGAGATGGCACAAAATTTGTGGAACTAGTTATATATGTTATTTGCATATGGCATATAGAAATAGGAAATGAGTAAATTCTTAGACACCTGGGGTGACTACTCACAGTGTAGTGGAACGCTAGCAGAGATCGCAGACTTAAAGACTTCTAAAATCCCTTCTACCTTTTAAATACTATGATTATCAGATAAAAGGAAACAGATTCAAATAACAGTTCATTTAGAGATCCTAAGAGTTTGAAAACTTTAGTTGGGACAAGATAGTATTGAAATGATTAATAAAGACCAAAAGGCCTCAACGTATCTAACCAGCCAATCAGAATTTGTGATTTAGCTAGTTTTTACACACTATGAAAATTATCTTGTAGATAGACAAAAGCAGGCAAAATGCATAAGCTTGCTTGGTCAGGCTCATCTACCTAATAACAAGACTGAGAACAAAGGAAGGAAAAGGAAAGGAAACTAGCTTTTACTGAGGTTCTATTCTAGGTAGATACTTAACCTATATTGTTCCATTTCATCCTTACAATAATCTTGTTCAGTAGGTATTACCATTCCATTTTATAGGCAAGAAAACCAAGACTCAGAGATTAAGTATGCCTAAGGTTACTACTGATAAATAATAAGGCATTCAAGGGTCATGACCTGAACATAATTTTAAGCTTTTGGTATTTCTATAACCTAGCTCTTCCACTACCAAAAGTCGGGTGTGTAATTTGATTCTTCCTTCTCCTGAGGACAGCAAAGCAATTAATAATATTAATAATTACTATGAAGGAATGCTACTATAAAAATATAAGTACATAACTTGTATACATTGAAAAATACTTGAAGAAGAAAGGGTCTGCAGAAAGAAAACCAGAACAACTCTGGAGACGTAAATGTATGAATGCAGACAAGTGATCCTCCGTATGCAGCTTAGATTTCTACAGACTTTAGGGAGCACTTCTCTCAAACCCTAATTCCACACATAGAGAAACTGAAGCATAATGGTTAGGAACCATAGAGCCCCAGCTCTATGCTTCTGTGTGCTCTTGGTTAAGTTAGTTAACATCTCTTGGCCTTAGGTCTGGAGGGGTAACAAAAAGGAGATAAAAATAGTACCTAACTCACAGGGTGTTATAATAATTACATAAGAAAATATACATTAAGGGGCACCTGGGTGATTCAGTCGGTTGAGTGTCCAGCTCTTGATATGGCTTAGGTCATGATCTCAGGATCCTGGGATTCAGCCCCACATTGGGCTCCATGCTCAGTGGGGAGTCTGCTTGGTATTCTCTCTCTCTCCCTCTGCCCCTCCCCTGGCTTGCATTCTCTCCCTCTCAAATAAATAAATAAATCTTAAAAAAAAAGATTAAAATGTTAACAGAGTTATCTGGCACACAATAATAAATAAATGGCATCCAATATTATTACTATTTCCCAGCACTTGAAGGGAATAAGTAATCTTCTGAGAACCTACCTATTCACTGTTCTTAATACTCTTCCATAGTGCCTAGGGAATACATGTAAAACCTATGTAACAATCAGACCACCAGCTATAATAACAATGATCAAGGACCACATTCTTACCATTGGTAGGCTTCTGTTAGTCCTGATCTGTAAGAGGAAAATAACAAAATTCTTTCAGAGAATGGCAATAAGATAAAGATACTAACCACCAAACATTTACTCTGGGTTGTGTGCAAGGGGCTCTTAATAAAGAAGTACACACAAAAACCTATGCTCTCAAAGAACATGCAATATAGTTAAGAAGCTGACTCTTTAATATGGTAACAAAGGTAAGTTAACCAATAGTCCTAGGTATTATCAAGTAAGTGGTATAGATGACAAATGCTATAGAAAGAAAGTATAGTCCAGAGCCCAAAAGAAGGGGTTCATTTCAGATGAGCTTATTGTCCTACGACATAAGAAAAGCACTATTACTTAAGGTTGCTAGGAGGCACACACAAAGGAGATAAAGACACACATTTCATTCTATAACATTAAAATAATATAGATTCTGCCCTCAGAATATGGTTGCAAATTGGTTTTTTTGCCAATTTGAGAAATGTTAATAAAATTTTAAGCTCTTAGTACTCATTAAAATTAATTTCATCTCTTCATTGCCTGGCTGGCTCAGTTGGTGGAGCGTGCAACTTTTTTTTTTTTTTTTAAAGATTTTATTTATTTATTTGAGAGAGAGAGAATGAGAGAGAGCACATGAGAGGGGGGAGGGTCAGAGGGAGAAGCAGGCTCCCTGCCGAGCAGGGAGCCCAATGCGGGACTCGATCCAGGGACTCCAGGATCATGACCTGAGCCGAAGGCAGTCCCTTAACCAACTGAGCCACCCAGGCGCCCGCGTGCAACTCTTGATCTCGGGGTTCTAAGTTTCAGCCCCATGTTAGGTGTACAGATTACTTAAAAATAAAATCTTAAAAGAAATTAATTTCAGCCCTTTAAAAAAGTGTTTGGGATCAATGCATCTGAAATGATAAGGACTATGAAAAAAATCAGATATACAGAAAACATAAGCAGAGGTCACAGATAGATTCCTGAGACATATAACCATTTCATTAGGAAAGATAAATTTGGATATTATCAGATATTAGGTAAACATGTAATGTTATGAGGAAAGGTTTCCTGAAGGAAGGAAGCAAGCAAAGAAAACAGACCAATTAATCTTTCAACAGATGAGGTTTCTTGCCATGTGTGATTTTTATTGTGCTTTAATTTAAAAAAACCCAGAGAATCTTCAAATTCTTTCCATCTAAGGAGTTTGACCTTTACTTCAATTCCATGATTTTCCCAGGACTTTCTAACATTATAGTAATAATAAGGAGTTAGTAGTCTAATAAAAAAGAGGCCTCTCAGAACATATTTATTTCCTTTCTTCTGGACCCTAACCAAATAGAGCAGTTCAAATGACTGGGATTACAAAATCAAGTTACCCAACAAACTTATAGGTTGGGATCTTGGAAAAGCATCAACTTTTTAAGCAATTCTCCATTAGGAAAAGAAGGCCCTACAAATGGCTAATTTAACAGGATATTTTCAAACTATTATGGCTTTTCCGGGTTACTATGAAACCCAGTATTATCTGGAGAGTAGGAGAGCGGGACTAAGCCTTCAACATGGGAAAAGCTTTTTTTTTTTTTTTTTTTTTTTAAGTCTGGCACAGCAACAGTAGAAACCATGGAAAACAGAGGTTTATAACCTTGGTTAGTTTAGGAAGTCATTGTGGTTTGTTGGCAGACCACGCATACATAGGAGTGGTAGTTCAATTAGAAACATGATTCCCCACTTCTCATCTCCAAAACATTTTGTGTGTTTATGGATTCATTTCCTAGGTCTCAAACAGCAAGTTAAAATGAGTTATTCAAAGAGCTTAATCAAGACCCTTACATAGCAGAAAACCTGAGGAAGGGAAAACTGCTACTTACTCTAAACTTTAGTTTAGTGGATATTTTTAGTATCTTTCTTCATCTTTACCCTTTCCCTGGTTCAGAGTCTGTTTTTTCTTTATGTCCTTATAGGAGTCTTTGTTTATGTCCCTCATCATAATTTAGAGTAAATAAAAAAGAACACAGAGAAGAGAGAAAGTGAAGGACAAGCTTTAAGGTTGTTTTCTGTCATTAACTTCTTAAAAAGGCAATTTTCATAGGAAGAGATACATACCAAATAGTGGGTACATATCACTGCAGCCTTATTTCATATAACACTTCCAATCTTTAAGGAAGGGAAGCGCGGGAAGGTCACATAGCAACTTGCTCAAGGCCACAGAGAATCTGAGGTCCAGGTCAGCCGGGCGCCGAGGCCCATCTGCTCTTCTCTGCTGACTTGTCAAGACTGCCTTCGAGCATCTCATCCCCAATGCCGAACTGTTTCTTTTAGGTCTGATCAGTACCTGGCCAGTCGCTGCTCCAAAAGGTGGAACCGTTCCTCTCTGAGGCTTCCTCCAAAGAGCTCTCCAACTCCAGGAACCAGAAGATCAGCAGCAGCAACCTAAGAAGGAAAAACGCTGTAAACAACTTCACATTCTCAGGGAATTCCAACAATTGTCAGCTTCCCAAGCAGGTGGAACTTCTAACGTTTTGACAAGTGGCTGTTAAACCGCTTAGCAGAATCTTAGTTATGTTACCTGTTTATGCTGTTTCAGAATCAAATTTTTAATATTATCTTTAGGATACATGATACACAAATTGCAGATGGACAGTTTCCTCTCCTCTCTTATACCATGTATGTAGTGTACTTAACAGAAATGTGTTTTCTCCACAAATGTGGTACGTTAATAATAAAAAATGTGGCAAGTATTAAAAATTATGAGATATTAAACGGCATCCATCACCATGCAGTAGCAATTGAATTTTGGCATATTTTCTTTCTGGTTTTTCTCTTCCACATTTAAGGAGTATAGTAGATCAAATTACACATAAACATTTACCATTCTAATGTTTTACTTAATATTATACATTTTTTTTCCTACGTCAGTTGAAATACTTTGCACACAGTGTTTGTTTTTTTTTTTTAAAGTAGTCTCTCCACCCAACATGGGACTTGAACTCACAACCCTGAGATCAAGAGTCACACAACTCCACTGACTGAGCTAGCCAGGTGCCCCCATACTTAATGGTTTAATAGCTGCACAGTTTATTGTTTAGAAGTAGACATTTTTATCTGTTTTTCTTTTGTTGAACATTTTGGTGTGTGTCTTTTGTTTGTTTTCTCTTAATTTGGCAATGAAGATTTTTCTTTATAGTATTTTGGTAGGACATGGAAAATATGTCCTGATTACTGGGGCAACTGGGTGGCTCAGTCAGTTGAGTGTCTGACTCTTGATCTCCACTCATGTCTTGATCCCAGGATCGTGGGTTCAAGCCTCACATGTGGGGTCCACGCTGGGCATGGAACCTATTTTAAAAAATAATGAAAATGTTCATTGAATTATGAATTCAAATTATGAATCATATTCAAATTATGAATCAAAGAAGTAAAAACAAACAATGAGAGAGTATATTGGAGCTATCAAAATGTGAAGGTAAGAAAACAACATAAACAACATGGATTAGAAGACGCATGAGCCAGTACTCTCCCATGTCTGACAGAACCTTTCTGGTCAGCAACTTGGGAAAAGATCATCAAAACCCTTAAAAATGCCATATGCTTTGACCCAGCAATGGCAGTTCTAGGAACTAGTCCTAACAAAATAATCTGAGATGAAAACAAAAACACGCACAGGGTGTTTATTGCAGCATTACTTATAATAACAAAAATTCAAGTACACGTCAATAGCAGCCGACTGTTAGGTAAATCTTAGACATGGATAAAACAAAGGCTGGCATCTACGTGATGAGATGTTAATTATGCTGCCACTGTGCTTTCTTCTGCTATTTTCTTATTCCGTACAATGAAGACGTGTTATACTTTTGTAATAAGAAAGCAACAAAAAACTTTTAATGGTGGAAAATGGTAGCTTGATATTTTCATTTGTATTTCTTCAATTACTAGTAATATTTAATTTTGAGAACGTTTGTTCGCTAACTGTATTATTCTGTGACTTGGTGATTCTTTTTTGTGGGGCATGTAGTAAGCATTATTAAAGAGACACAAAACTGGGGTGCCTGGGTGGCTCAGTCGGTTGAGTGTCTGACTTGGTTCCACCCAGGTCATGATCTTGGGGTCATGAGATAGAGCCCCACCGGGGCTCAGGGCACAGAGTCTGCTTGGGATTCTACCCCCCTCCCTGCCCCCCACCTCCCCCCTGCTTGCGCTCTTTCTCTCTTCTCTGTTTCTTTCAAATAAATAAAACCTTTTTTTTTTTTAAAGATTTTATTTATTTATTTGAGAGAGAGAGAATGAGAGAGAACACATGAGACGGAATAGGGTCAGAGGGCAAAGCAGACTCCCTGCCGAGCAGGGAGCCCGATGCAGGACTCGATCCAGGGACTCCAGGATCATGAAGGCAGTCGCTTAACCAACTGGGCCACCCAGGCGCCCCAAATAAATAAAACCTTTAAAAAAATTTAAAAAGGCACAAAAGTAAGAAAGATATAATGCAACAAATGAAAAATTAGTAATTCATAAAACACATTTTAATCTTCAACTTAAAAAAATTTAAGTAAGCACTACATCCAACGTGGGGCTCGAACTCATGACCCCAAGATCAAGAGTTGCACATTCTGGGGTGCCTGGGTAGTGCAGCTGGTTAAGCAACCAACTCCGCATTTTGGCTCAGGTCATGATCTCATGGGTTGTGAGATCAAGCCCCGCCTCCAGCTCTGCAATGGGTGGAAGTCTGCTTGAGATTCTCACCCTCTGCCCCTCTCCTCAATTGTGGGCATGCCTAAGCGGGTGCATGCTCTCTCTCTCTCAAATAAATAAATAAATCTTAAAAAACAAAAACAAAACCAAAAACCAATTGCACATTCTACTGACTGAGCCAGGCAGGCGCCCCTCACATTTTTAATCTTTAAAAGTCACATTATATTATAAACTCTTTTCTTAAACTCTGCCTCACTTTACTATTAAGCCATGACCTGTTTTGATTTCAGAACTTTTGACTGAGATACCTTTTACAAATAATTGAGAATAAAGAATAATACAAGAATGTTCCCCAAATACTGTATGCCTCATCTTCATTATTATCATTAAAAGAGAGAACATCAGGTATGATTTGGAGTGAATTAGAGTGAGAGAACAGAAATTCACTAATGGCTTCTACTTTTACTAAATTTCCTACCACTTAATCAGCTGGTGAGAAGTAAACATACAGATTTTGTCAGACTGCCACTGCTCGTTGACCACATCTTAGTAATTATTCTGTGAATCTGGGGGAACTACAACAACCAAGCAGGTAATTCAGAATGTGGATTTGGTGACTCAGATGTGAGGACAGGTAATGAAACACACAGCTTTGCAGAGGTGTACAAGACAGCCTTGAGAGGAAATTCTCACAGGCCATACAATTAATAGAGTTGGACTCCAACCAGGACCCTGCTCCTATTCTCAGAGAAAGGAGAAGTTTCAAGGGAGTTTTTATGGCCATTGAAGGGATGGCATCTTTATTTCTTAGTATCTTGCTTTTAGACATGGCTAACATACACTAGAAGTTGAGAGAGACCTGATCGAAAATTTGTTCTTAACCTTAATCCAGAGTTTTAAATTTAGAATTACAGGCAATCAGGATTAGAAAAGAATAGACACCAAGTAGCTCTCTGGCCTTTGCTTGAAAATATTTAAAGACTGAGAACTACTACCCCCAAAATATAGCATTCCATCTATGTGTAGCTCTATTAAGAAGGGACAAGTATATCCAAAATCTATCATTTCCAAGGTTTTGAAGTTGAGGCCTCAACCTGCCTGCCCGCCAGTGGGGGGGTGACGACTTAAAGTAATACCTGATTGAGAACCACCGCTTTACAACAATGAGTTGGCTTTTTAAAACTTATCCTGCATGTCCATCCTGGCTTGAAGCTGATTAAAAAAAACCAACAAACCACTTTATGAGGTATTGCTGATCTAGCAGATGGAATGCTCTTTTTTTCTACCTGCCTTGTACTAAAAACACTTGTCCAAGAGTAATGTATGTAGGTCACATTTGCTCACAATTCCTTGGCCAATACAAGTCACTAAACTCACGTTGATGGGGCAGAGAAGTATAATATCCTGAGAGAGTAGTGGTAACTACTGATGGAGAGTAAAACAGTTTACCAGGTTGCCTCCCCTCTCTCCCCACCGACATGGGACTCCCACTTCCACTCTCCCAACCAAATCCTCATTGTTAATTAGAATTAAGGTCAGAATAGTTCTCTTTTCTTCCTCTGTACTCTGGGACAGGAGATTATCAAGAAAAGGAAAAGAACTTACCAAAATAGAAAAGAACTTACCAAAATATCCTATTTTAGTTGAATGAAAATTTTAGAAAACATCCAGATAAAGTTCCATATCACTCCTAATTTTGTGACATGCAGAAGGAATACATACAGCATCTGTATCCTTTCTTTGTCCAGAGGGTCTGAAAATTCACACTTTCAGGTGGGTGAATTTCATGTATGTTTTCTTGACAAAGAGTAAAGTAGTTTCTCCTTTTAAGAGAAATGTATCTTTTAAGTAAGGCATTCCTTCACAATGCCTCATAAATATTCCAAGACCAAAGGGTACTGTTTCTTTTTTTATCAAGGACAGATTTATCTCTTTGTGAAGAAAGGCCCACAAAGGCTTTGTTTTTTCTTCTTCTCCATATAATCTTCTTCTCTTTTTCTTTAGGTTTAGTTTCCTTTCAACCCTATCAGATTACACTTCCTGCTTTCCTTTTACAGTGATATCCTCCAATCTCTCTAGACATTCTGCACACTTTCTGAGAAGCTATAATACAACAAAGTATTCCTCAACTATAAATAAAGACATTTACATCTGGTATACATAGAGCTGCACTTCCTTCAATATGATATAAAAAATACCACATTCCCTCAAGATTACTAACACAGCCCCTTTAAATTTCCATACCTTTTAGTTACGGTTGAGATTTCCAAGAGGATTCTTCCGTGTTGTGTCTCCCTCTGGTAACTACTGAGCTAATTACTACAGAAACTACCACTCTTTCCAGGGCTCTAGTAGAGGTAAAGGGTACATACAGATATGATATAAACCATGACATAAGGGGGCACAAAATGTACAACATGGATGGAATCACTGAAATCTCTTAAGAACTAAAGAGAAAAACTTGGCTGTGTGTTTGCCAAGTGACGGGTGGTGTGGGGTTAGAGTGCAAACAGGCTGGAAACAGGCAAGTTGCCTAGAACATTAGCCGGGGATTACAATTTGCCCGCCTGGGCTGGCAGCTCTGCGCTTTATGGGAGTCTGAGGCTTCCTTCAAGAGCTGGGGCTGAGCAATCCTGCCCTTCATTAGGGAAAATGAGGATTCACAGGCTGCATAATAAAATGTCCTCTTAATTCACAAATTTGACCAAATTTAAGCACTTCTGTAGCTACAATCTCCTCTGCAT